AATTTGTTCACAAAGTGTTGGATCGATATATCATTTGCAACAAACCCCTCAACACAGCTTTTGCTCTGAATCAGGAATTAATCAAAAGCGGAATCCGGAAGGGAAATCGGGATAGGCAAGCACTTGAACGTCTCCTCCTATGACAAAAGCGCCAGTTATTTCTTTTCTGAACGAGAGAACGTAAGCTAAATATGAACTTAAAAGTCCGAACGGCCAATCATAGCTCAATGCATGTTGTTGATATATGTGTTGCCAGCTGCAGCCAGCCAGCAGTGCATTTTGAACTGGCGCCGCGTATGGTTGTCGATGCATGTGCTTCGGTGCTTCCAGTCATGCACTGTCGTCTGTCTTGATTCTACTAGTGTATGAGTCAGAGGTGTCTGGTGCATAAAAACTACGATTTTTTGTTAACTGATTTTAATGAATTGTATTATGATTGTTTAACATTCGCGTTCATAAATTTAGTCTGCAATGCATAGGCTTAATTTGCGTTCAGAAATGGGATGTTTACCCTAAAAAAACGTGTTCTCAATTGCCACTATATACAAGGTCGTTACTGACACGGAGTGACACCAGTAGAGACTCGTCACTCACAGTCACCGATGAGCAAGGGAGATCTTGGGAAGGCTGCATAAGCATTGCGCCCGGCATGAACGTTTCCGAGGTCGCAAGTAGAGACATGTCACTCTCCGGTGAGCAAAGGAGATCTTGGGGAGGCTTCACAACGTTGCAGCCGGTAAAGGATGTACTCTTGATTCTGAAAAAAGTTCCATTAGATCTTGCCGATATACTTGAATGCAAAAGTCACCTATATACAGGGTGGCGCGCGGTAATTTGCTGATTTGGGAATGAAATAAAAAAATTAAGATCACTAGAAAAATTTATTTGATATTTGAATTATACTGAACGGTAATGTAATTTATAAATTTCATGGTTTAAAAGAGTGTATCTGGCAAATGTCAACCTTAGCATTCCACACACTACTGTATACGTTTTCTGAAGTTTTCATGAACTCTAATAAGCATGCCTACTGGTATTCAGCCAATTTCAGCTTCAATGTTGTTCCTTAGGCCTTCCAAGGTGTTGGGGCAATTGATATACACCTTAGACTTCAGGTATCTCCAAAGAAAAAAATCGGATGGGGCTAAATCTGGTGAGCGTGCTGGCCAGGTCACATCACCCCTCAAAGAGATAAGCCGTCCAGGAAACATTCGCCTCAAACAATTCATGTTAACCCTCGTTGTGTGTGCAGTGGCACCATCCTGTTGGAACCATGTATCCTCTAATTCCATTGCCTCATTGAGCTGGCTGAAAATAATCCTGCATCATAAGCAAATGCTAAGAGCAAATGATTGCTTCCAAGCAGAGCATTTTGGAGATTGCAGTACTGCTGCTCTAACTCTCTCGATGTTTCGTGGTGTTGTAATCCTTCTCTCGGGTCCCTTTTGCAGACATAACACATTCCCTGCTGTTCTGAATGCATTCACCCAATTTACATTTGATTGCCGTCCAGGAACACGTCCACGTGAAGGAACAGCGAATCGTGAATGAAAAGCACGCTGCACTGCAATGATCGTGTGGGCATTTGAAAAATACGCTTCTACACAAAATGACCTCTCCTAACATGTCCACTGCATGATGTCAACTGAGAGCAAGACGAATACAAATTTCCCGCCATCCACTGTAAGCAACGTCCACTCTCCTCTGTCTTCAACCATCAGTGCCGCCACAGCATGCAGTGCAAATAAGCAAATTCCCGCGCTCCACCCTGTATGAGTTGATTCAGAGTACACATTCAACACGAAATTATTTTCTTCTATGGTCATAATTAATTTACACTTTAATTGTTTACATTATTTCTGAAAATCATACCTGAAGCTGATTTGGAAGACACGCTAGCGTCCGACTCCCAACCAGCTCAAACGAATGCGGACCCAATTGCATGCAAGCTATGCCTTTGTATCATATTAGTTGAACAGTTTAACATTTATGCGCCATACGGCGCGTCCTTATGAAGTCAACTCCTAGTCCAAGTCTATGCAGTCGCTGACTCCTATTCCTATCAACATGTTGAAACTAGTCCTATAAGTTGCGTTTTCTTTCATTTTAAGTGATCATCTTAAGCAAATATGGTAAATAAAGCTAAACACAAATGCTTGAATTAAATAATGACTGCTGTTAGCGAGTACCGTAAAATGGGGTTACTTTGACCGGCGGGGTAACTTTGACCACTTTTCGTTTTTTTAACAAAAACCCCCATAACTCAAAAACGATTTGACATAGAAAAATTTTGTCAAAGGCCTAATACTGAGGCTATGCAATACAATAGAAAGATTTAAAAAGTTTGCATATCTAATAGGTTAAAAAATTAATAATGTGACCCACGAAAAAGAGCTATTATTTAAAGCCTGTCGGAGTACCAAGGAAAGTGTCATAGTTTGCAAATGGGGGGTGCCACCCCCCAATGGGGGAACTTTGACCACCTAATGGCAGCCTTGATGGGGTAACATTGACCAGCTTGGAAATTAAGTTAAAATTACCATAGGTACATATATAACATATTTTATGTTTGATACACCTATTAATGTTTTTTTCTTTATGGTTCACACTCTACAGAGTCTTATATATGGTAATTTTAACTTAATTTCCAAGCCAGTCAATGTTACCCCATCACAGCTGCCATTAAGTGGTCATATTTTGCCCATTGGGAGGCGGTGCCCCCAATTTGCAAACTATGACACTTCCCACAAATTTGTCATTTGCATATGTAACTAGAAGAGTTCTACTACAATGCACCAAAACCTGGGGTTATTTTACCAAAAAATAAAATTGTTTTTACCACCTGGTCAAAGAAACCCCAAAAGCTGGGGTAACAAAAACCATCATTTTTTTTTTTTTTTGAAATTACATCAAAACTATGAGAGGCAGGAGCCAGCAATTTATGATGAGTAAAGCTAGAGTATAGGCCTGTATTTTGCATGTTTCAATTTAAGTTTAACTTATCTAGTAAAAAAATGGCATTTTGAAATAGAAAAGTGGGCAAAGTTACCCCATTTTACTGTAGTGTTCAATATTCAATAGTGTTCTAATTCCAAGATGTGTTGTATTCCAATACAGCTCACACAGCGATCAGAATTTGAACACAAGAGTGTTGGAATTACGAATTAGTAGAGCTTGAAGTGCGGCCGGAATTAGTCTTAGTGTTGTGGAAAGTTGTTGCTGGAATTCTTAGTTGTGGAAAGGTGTTGCTGCATTTTTTGAGCTCGGATGAGAAATTTATTTATTTCACACAGAGAAAAATAAACCTCAGCCATTATTATCAGAATTAGAATGGATTTGGAAATTGACATTTTTTGCAGATATGACAAGTAATATGAATAAATAGAATCTGAAATTGCAAGGCAAAACAAATTTGATCACGACTACCTGTTCATGTCAAGGCATTCAGAGCAAAGTTTGTGCTACGTGAAGGCCAGGTGACAGTTAAGATTTTGCTCATTTTCCTTGTTGTAAAAAATTTCATGCAGAAATTAAAGTTGAATTTCATTTTTCATTTGTAAATGAAATAATTTCAGGTTTGAAAAAAGTTTCAGAAACAATTTACTGACCTTGAATTGATGCCAAAGCAAATGAAATCAGGCTCTTTTATAATCCATTTGACTGCAATGCTGAAAATCTTTCAACTCAATTTAAAATAGAAATTATTGATCTCCAGGCAAATGACTGACTGAAGGATAAGCATAATGCCTGAAGCCAGATCAGTTTCCAAATTTGATAAAATTTGCTTGTAGTTTTGTGGTCACACTAATTTGGTTAGATAAAACTGAAGAGGCATTTATTTAGTTTACCCTAATTTTTTCCAAAAATATAAGTTTTAATTTTTCCATGTTTATAGGTACTTTATTATTTGAGTAAATAAAATTGCTGGCACTGATCTTTTTGTTCTTTTGATTTTTTATTCTTTCAGCCTGCATAAATACCCGGGAAATATATAAAGTGTGGCCCACACATTGAAAAGTTTGAAGATCCCTGGTATAGTGGATACAATTCGAAATATTAGCTTAAAATTACTCTGAAAGTAATTTCAGCATCTGAACAAATCCTGTAGTTTGGAGGTTGATAGCTGGAGACTCGCTCATTATCAAGAGAGTCTCCAGCTATCAACCTCCAAATTACAGGCTTCATCCAGATGCTGAAATTATTTTCAGAGTAATATTAAGCCAATATATTAAATTGTATTCACTATACCATTGATATGTACTACTGTCATTTCCAAAATTCAATTTCAAGTGTTGTAAAACCTTCACCAGCTTGATAATGAAAATTGTATTTTTTTTTTTTGAATGATGCAATGATACCTGCTGTATAATAAAGCAGGTCAACAAACTCTGTAGCCATTTCTTTCAAGAATTCACGGAACTGGCAATGGTAGAGTGCAGTCAGCTTGGGCTGAGTGCCACCAGTCAGCAGGCCCCAGCTTTGAATAATTTTGCAATGCCATTCATACAATAATTATTTATTCATTTCACAATTTCATCCAGTGGGCCAGATGAAATTATGTAGCCGGCTGGATGCGGCCCATGGGCCATAGTTTGGAGACCCCTGCACTATACCATTGATATGTACTACTGTCATTTCCAAAATTGAATTTAAATTGTTGTAAAACTTTCACCAGCTTGATAATGAAAATTGTATTTTTTGAAACATTGCAATCCATTAAAATGTCACTCGGAAACCTGGTTTAACCTGGTTTTTGATCTCCCGGTGCCAGCAAGAAATTTTGTTTGACTCAGTGAAAAAACACACAAGAAGATTATTAATAAAAAGCATGCTCTGGTCTTCAATCAAACTTGCCTAAAAGAATATGTTTACATAGAATGATAGGTTCAGTAGCCAGCATTAAATGCATGAATCCTAGAAAGATTTGAAAAATGAAAGACAATAATTTATTGTCTATCTATGAATCTGTAATACCAATTTATTGCTATTATTTCTTTTACAGATTTTATTTTAACATTAACTAATTTTTTATCTAATTATGGCTGAAGAATCAAAAAACAAGGATAGCATTGATACCCAATGTGCTGAGCAGACTGAAGCTCCAGCCACTGATGCAAAGCAGGTATGTTCTTGTATGTTTTATAATTTTTCATAACCAAGCATTATCCTTGTTAGATATTGCTGATACAACCCTACCTACAATATTCTTGTGTAAGGAAAATTTCTGATTTTTATTGCTGTATGCAAGAAGATCCAAATTTTAGAAGTATTTACATAATTCTTCAGTTGAAATTTTTGTATTCATTATTTGTGAGATCAATTTAATTCTAGTTCATTTATTCAGTTTTTTGAATTGACAATAATTTAACATTATATTGATGTCATTTTAATTCTGTTGACTTCACTTGACAAAATTTAATATTTTTCTCAATTTAGGTGGAGGATTCATTGTATAGGTAACATTCATGCATTTAGATGTTGAAATTCACATACTCTGTTTAATTCATTTGTATAACTTACAACTTTTTACTTACGAATGTATGAATACTTTTTACAACTCTAAACATAGTCCCTGTGCTTCTATATCTACTCAACCGGGTACAGAGATCTGAGTAAAAGGACGGTCTCACCATAGTGTTATTGAAGCTTCACTAAAACTATACTGTCCATGCTGTTGTAGTATATTACAGATACTTCCATATAGCCTCGTTGCAGTGTTTGCTCCTCACATTAATGCATATGAATAGCAGGGAGTGCTCATGCTTGTACAGTTACAGAGTACCTGTGTGTAACGCTAACACTAATGCTGTTTAAAATGTAACCGTTCACATGATGCGCACATAGGATGCAGGACATTAATAACAAGATACTTGATTTCGTGTACGACTTGAAGTGCAATTCAATTGAAGCCTCAAGTGAATCGGTAAACAGAATTGGCATGTCCAGCAGTTGACGACAATGGCGCCCTCCTTGAAACGCTACACTGTCGCACCTGTTTTCTTGGCATGCTTGCTGCCTGCAAGGTTCACTAGAAGCAGGACAGCGACCACTTAGTGCGCACTTGTGCATCAACTAAGCGCACACTAAGTGGTCGCCGTCCTTCTTCTTCCACTGCTGCAGTAAAAGCTTCCAATTCATCAACTACGGGGGCTGAAGGAAACCGCCTGGCCCAGCAGAAGTTGCAAAGTGGCCACGAGAAGTCGACTTCACTCACTTCCCAGCAAAAATTTTCAGAAGCTGCAGAGTCTGATTTGGATTACCAGGAGCTGGGGCAACTCTAAATTTTGTTAGGGTTTAACTGAGAATGTGATAATGGCAAAGTTTTTGGATTGTACCTACATGATTTTTATACTTCATAGCTACAATGCCCAAACTCTAACAAAAAATACTTATCAAGATTACGTCTTGCCCTACCTGAACAGAATTCTCGGTTGGCCAAATATTCGTGGAGTAAAACATTGAGACAGGAGCTAGAGAAGTGAATTTACTACATGTGAACGGCATACTTCAAATAAGGACTCTTTGTCACCATCAACTGATGAACATTCCAAGCCTTTTTTATATGTAATAATCATGTTTTATAAAGCATCCACAGACAGCAATAACTATCATTTTGTATGAAATGCTCAATGTAAAGAGGCAGTGAATGCAAGAATTGCTTGGAGTTCATCTTGTGGCACTTATTATTGTCCTAAATGAAAACCGTTAATTAAGCAGCAATCCATTCAAATCTTCAATTAATGAATAGGCTACAAATAGTTCGAAAAATAATATTTCTTCTCTCACCTGCTCACCTTTTCTATAAAAATAATATTTATATAATTATACATTTTGAGCAATACCACTAGTCATAATTTATTAATTAATGGTCAATTATTATTTATTTGTATTCTGATTAATAATTTTTATTTGTTGACACCTCTTTTAATCCATTAAATTTAAATATTATTCATGATCATGAGTAATAAGAATTAAATTTTTTTTTCTGTTATTAATATTTATCTCTATTTTAAAATAAAGTCATTTAATTTTTCAGTTGGATGCATCACCTGTCAAAGACAAAACTCAGAACAATGACACAAAAGAAGAGCCCACTGTGGATGAGCCCACCTCAGAAGATAACCCAGCCCCTGAAGAGAAAGTTGAAGCTCCTGCAGATTCAGTCAACAGTGAGGATGCATCAAAAAATGGAGAGATCAATTCTCAGCTCAGAGATAAAATAGTCACACAAATTGAGTACTACTTTGGTAACTACAATTTACCGCGGGACAAATTTCTGTCAGCTGAGGTAAGCTACTTTAGTTTTTACATTGCTTTCTTTTCATCATGTCTTTACTGCTAAATTTTAAATTATATCTATTACTCAAGTTATAGTATTACTCAAATGCCTATTTGATTACATTGCTTGCTTATATGATGATTCAAATACTTGTTTGAGGCAGTGCAAGTTGATTTTTCCTTCATCTGGGACTGTGAGTCGTGCCGTAATTGTGGTTATAATTAGAATTTTTTAAAGTCCTTAGTCTCAGCTTGGGCTTCACTTCAAAAGTTCCTATGATGGGCATACAAACTTAGCTCTTATCTTTCTCTCTTCAGTGTCCCTGTGTCGCATCTTGAGTTTATTGTCATTACATATCAAAGAGAAGACGTATGTAATATAAGTATAAAATTAATTAAGTCTGTGATGATGTGCCATTGTTGGTTTTTTCACTGTGGAATTTTATTTCATTCTTAATGTACTTGTAGTAGTATATTTGAATTTAAGGCAACAAATTCATATTTTTTAGCTATTCAAAAAAGTTAGTTAATTTTTCTTCTGTAGCACTGAACTACGATCACGATTATCACTTTCCCCTACAGATCAAGAAGGACAATGGCTGGGTCCCCCTCAGCACAATGACTAATTTTGCAAGACTGGCTAAGCTCACCAAAGATTGCAACATTATTGCCACTGCCATTAAGAGCTGTGAAAATACTTTTATGGAGGTCAGTTTGTCACTGCATATCCTGTTCAGTCTCTTGATTGTTTCATGTTGATATATTTTGAAAAATATTTATGAAACTGTTGAACTATGTTTCCAAAGCAAACAAAGCAACAAGTGCGCAAATTCCTTGTTATGTTTTATTTGCGTGTGCTGGAAATGTGGCGGCCTAGAAACCTTGACTAGTTGTTGGCCATGTGGTTTGTGCTGAAAGTTTTGTCATGTTAATAGTATTCATTTTTTAATTGTGTTAATGGCATTCATTTGTGCTGATCAATCGACAGGTTGACCCAACTTTGACCAAGATTCGTCGCAGTGTTGATGAGCCTCTCCCTGAACTGGATGAAGACCTGAAGGAAGAGTCTATCAAGCGAACAATTTATTGCAAAGGCTTTCCTAAGGATGGATCCGTAACTCTTGATGAGCTCCTGGAATACTTCAAACAGTTTGGCAGTTATGACTCTGTGAAGGTGAGTGAAAAGTTTCTGAGCTAATTTTTAAATATTAACTTTCATCTTGATTTTACATTTGCATGTCATTCATGTAATTTTTCCAATTCGATTTCTCATATATAATATATATGTATACGCCATGGACATTTATGTGTTGTATTATATTAATCTTATTTTCCGTTTTGCTCATTGCAATATAAGAACTATTTAATTTTTGCTCTGCAGATGAGGACATACATCGATAAGACCACCAATGCCAACGGCTTCAAGGGGTCAGTTTTGGTGGTGTTCAAAACTGCTGAACTTGCTAAGGCATTTTTAGAACGCCCGCCCACCCAGTACAAAAAACTGTACCTCGTCAAGAAATGGTTTGCTGACTACCTCGAGGAAAAGAAGAAAGAGAGGGACGAGCGTCTTGCCAAGAAGGCTGCGCGTCTCGCCAAGACTGGTGAAGCAAATGGAGAGGTGGGAAAACTATCATTTTATAGGGAATACCGGTATTGTGAGGAGTCTATTTTTAGTGCTTTATTATTTCCATATGTCTTGTCATTTTCCCACTCATTTAAAACACTGTTTCAATAACGAACAAATTGTTTTGCATGTGAAACAAGAAGTAAACATTTTTTTGGCACGCTTATATTGCTTTCATGATCTCAGGCCAAAGAAGCCAAGCCACTGGAAGAGGTTGCTCGAGGTTCGTTCTTGCTGGTGTCAGGCTTCAAGGAAAACACGTCGCGGGAGGACATCAAAAACGCCATTTTTGATCTGACGCACGACTGCGCTTTTGTGGACTTCAGGCGCGGTGAAGACAAAGCTTATGTCCGCTTCACTCAGGCGGGCACTAACCAACAAATGCTAACGGCACTGCAGGGCAATCTCAAGGTAAAGAGATAGCCTTATTATCCGAACTTGATGGTCTTATTCATTTTTTGATGTGACTGTTGTAATTTTGTAATTGCTGTTATCTTAGATTTTTATTTGCGTCTTCGTGATGGGTTGATCCCAAGGTCTTCCTCTTTGTTGTTGAAATTGATTCTAGTTTCAATTAGAATCGATTTCGAAATTAATTCTATTTTACCCGCAAATAATTATTTAGAATACAAATATAAGTCTCTATTGCCCCTAACTTCAGGTACATACATACTAATTCAGCCAATCCAAACTTTCAATTACTATGATTTTAAATTTTATTTGAAGATTTTCTGTAATGAAGAATTTTTTGGCATGCTGAAGGTGTTGCGTACAAGCTCTTGAAATATTTCACTATAAATATAGTAACTCGAAACTTGTGCGCCTTAACGCTTATTGTGGTGCAGGTGAACGGTGCTGATGTGACGCTGAGCCTCGTGGAGGGCGAGGAAGAGGACGCGCAGATCAAGAAGGCCAACGAAGCGAGGCACCGCGCAGTGGCCTCAGGTCAGCAGCAAGGCAAGAAGAGGCGGGGAGGCTTTGGTGGACGAGGAGGCCGCAGCAAACGTCAGCGTAGATAATTGTTAATCTTAGCTGTCTTTCAATGATCGGGTAAAGATACCCATTTTTTTCCGGCTGTCATGTAGTGTTAATCTTGGCTGTCTTTCAATGATCGGGTAAAGATACCCAATTTTTTCCGGCTGTCATGTAGTGTTAATCTTGGCTGTCTCTAAATGATCGGGTAAATTTACCTAATTTTTTCCGACTCCTGACATGCAGTGCAACAATTTTATTAGATTGTCGGGATAGGGCATTAGAAATCCAATGTTATGAAGATAGCAATCTCGGCAGTGTTTTTCTTGCTTTTAATTTAGTGATGACCAATGAAATACAAGTTCAATTCAAGCACACGCCGAACAAGTGCTTCTTTTTCCATTACTGACAAGATCAAAGCGGTGTGTTTATTTTGTTCACAATTTATCTACCACCTCCTTGATTGCGGCATGAATGCAATTCGTGATAATTACTTGATTTTCATTTCCTAAATGTACTTCTGAAGCACATGAATTTTCATTAGCTAGCGTTTAATGACGAGGTGCTTTTGATACGGGGAAACCTGATGAAATAGTTTCCTGTGTCATCTTCAATGCAGGGAAATTTATAAGTACGCATTATAAATATAATTTATTGACAAAATGGCATATTCTCATGAGTTAGGAAGTACGGACTAACAAGCGAAATTGGACACAACTTATGATGAACAACAGAGACCTGGAGCAAGTGATATAAATAAGGCATTTATCAACTCTAAACATAGTCTCTGCGCTTCTATATCTACTCAACCGGGTACGGAGATCTGAGTAAAAGGACGGTCTCACCGTAGTGTCATTGAAGCTTTACTAAAACTATACCGTCCATGCCGTTGTAGTATAATATAGATACGTCCATATAGCCTCGTTGCAGCGTTTGCTCCTTACATTAATGCATATGAATAGCAGGGAGTGCTCATGCTTGTACGGTTACAGAGCACCTGTGTGGAACGCTAAAACTAATGCTGTTTAAAATGTAACCGTTCACATGGTGCGCACATAGGATGCAGGACATTAATAACAATACTTGACTTCATGTGCAACTTGAAGTGCGATTCACTTGAAGCCTCACGTGAATCGGTAAACGGAATTGTCCAGCAGTTGACGACAACGTCGCCCTCCTTGAAACGCTGCTCCGTCGCGCCTGTTTTCTTGCCACGCTCGTTGCCTGCAAGGTCCACTAGAAGCAGGACAGCGACCACTTAGTGCGCACTTGTGCATCAACTAAGCGCACACTAAGTGGTCGCCGTCCTTCTTCTTCCACTGCTGCAGTTGTACGCAGAAGAGGGCGTGGGAGCGACTGCTCTCTGGGCGTTCATGGCCGTGGAACAGTGAAAATTCCCATACGATGCCCGGACCTCTTCGTGGTGGATGGACGCATCCTGGACGACTTGTCCCGGAGGGCCAAAGCACGGACACAAAACCCGGGTCTGCCGCGCAGCAGTGTTTTCGGCTTGGCGGCGCCCCAACGTGGAGCGTCGCTCCCTCCTGTCCTCCGCTGCAGTCCGCCCAGTTGATCCAGCAGATGATAGCAGGCGGTTCATCTCTTGCGCGAAAATATACGATCGGCGTAAATGGAACGAAATGGATAAATTTAAACAAAGCTTCCAATTCATCAACTACGGGGGCTGAAGGAAACCGCCTGGCCCAGCGGAAGTTGCAAAGTGGCCACGAGAAGTCGACTTCACTCACTTCGACCGAGAATGTTTATAATATCCAAGGTTTTAAATGGTACATACATTAATTTTATAATTCAGAGCTACAATGCCCAAACTCCAACAAAAAATACTTATGAAGATCACGTATCGCATAACCTGAACAGAATCCTCGGCTGGCCAAATATTCGTGGAGTAAAACGTCGAGACAGGAGCTAAAGAAGTGAATTTACTACACGTGAACGGCATACTTCAAATAAGGACTCTTTGTCACCATCAACTGATGAACATTCCAAGCCTTTTTTATATTTAATAATCATGTTTTATAAAGCATCCACAGACAGCAATAACTATCATTTCGTATGAAATGCTCAATGTAAAGAGGCAGTGAATGCAAGAATCGCTTGCTTAGAGTTCATCTTGTGGCACTTATTATCGTCCTAAATGAAAACCGTTAATTAATGAAAACCGTTGGATTAATGAAAACCGTTAATCCATACAAATCTTCGATTAATGAATAAGCTACAAATAGTTCGAAAAATAATATTTCTTCTCACACATGCTATAATCATCAACTCATCAGTATCAAAACGCTATTATTTTCAAATATATATGTCACGTTTACGAAATTCTGTTCTCTTAGAATCTCTCAATTGTTCAGCTGGGCAAAAGGTCCCCATACCAGCACAGACTAATGGCGTAGAAAAATCTCCGTTCATGCATCGCAATGGTTATAGTTGGAAGCGCCAACACCTGATGATACCGGACTCACGTTACTCCAAACAGTGATAAGTTTTTGTATCTTGAAAGATCCCAGTTCAATAATACATTCAATGAAATATTCTCAGGACCGTAGATCGAATTCATGCAAATTCATCAGGCATGGTGAACAGTAATCATCGCTTCAATACATACATCCGTCGCTTTTCATTGATAGAAATTATATTAAACCTGCCTAACTTACAGGCAACACCGAAATAATGTAAACCTATAAATGCACACCATCTGATATAAAATACCTTTGACATATGAATGAGAAAATTAGATACCAGTAAAAACTTGCATATACATAAGACCCCCTGTGGGCCGCGAAGACAATAATAACAATTATCAAAATAATAAAAATAGAGATTTTTCAACTTTTCGCAATGTTTCTCACATTAAATACGAGTTTGGTCCAATACTTTTTGCCCCTACTTGACCACGCAAATTTCCCAGACGCTGAGCAATAAGCGGCATTATCTTCAATTCAATTATTCATCTTGATTAAGTTTATGGGAGCATCAAATGCATTAAATTCTCAACCCGACAGTGGAGCAAACATTTTTTTGTCATAAACCCATGCCGACAATACAACGCAAGTAATTCCATTGCACTAATCTAAACTAATCTCCAGTAACAGACCTCGATGAATAGCAACGGCAGTCCTGGTGCTGCCCAAAACGCGGCCAAAAATGTTATTTAGGTTCTTTAAAAAGCTTTTAGAAGCCAGAAACTAGAAAATACTGCAAACAATTTTTAATAATTCTGACAAGTAGAAGCTTCTTTTAGGAACGAAATAATTCGCACAAACAGTCAGCACGGCGAGATTAATGAAACTATCAACAAAATAACCAAGTGCAATAAATAATAAACAATTTCAATAAAACTTCTGCAGCAATTTGAGGGAACAGCCGTTGGTTACAGAGCTGTCTGCTATCGATGCAGCTCGACACAAGTAAAAAATCTTAGATCTTGAGATAAAATTTATCCCGTTCGCAAAATACCATCTTTGTAAGCCGAAATATAATTCTTCTCTCTCACTTGATCTCATGTTTATTTAGTCGCTATACTGAGACGACTAGATGCACTAGATAAATATTAAGAAAGGCTAAGCTTCAAAAACGTGAGCTTTAACAACAAAGTTCCACCTAGTGAAGCAGAGACTCTTGAACTTTGCATTGATGATGGCAAAACGAACAAACCTTTCAAGTTAAACTATAAACGGTTCATCTTCCAGAAGTAATGGCTGAATTATAATAATAAATATAAGTAAGTAATACAAGGAAAATGATTAACCTACAATTAAGACGCAACAAAAAGTTAGAAGTAACGACTTGTGAACAGAAACGCTAGCGTTAATAGTATAGAAACGAGAAACACGCGAACCTTTTTCTGGTAACGCGATGAACTTGTCTGGAGCATAGACGGCAACCAACCAGAGAAAAAAAACATATCCTGTTTAAAAAGTTTTCCGTAGGACCTAGGCTGTTTCTTAATTTATTAATTTTCCTAAAAAGGTCTGCTGTAGAGAGCAAGAGCATTCACGGTCGAAGGCATGAGCGGTTTACTGCGCGCTCATGATGTAAGAAAGTAAAGGTTAGAAACAGACATTCGAAGATACGATAGACAAAATTGAGACATTTGTTAAACAAATTAAATCTGAAATAAGATGGAGCAAGCACAGTAATATAGCACGTTAGTTATCGAAAATATCTCAAAGACTTTACTGTATTGTGTTCAAGATTTCCGTTTAGATTAATGATAACTGGTATTATTCGCAGTAAGGATTTCGAAGATAATCTAAATATCTTTGGCACCAAAATAATATATTAAAAAACGATAACCTACTTCAACACCGTCGTGTCAACCATCAATGCAATGCATGATCTCTTAGTTTGAAGATGAAATAGTAACGAAAAATTTCGGAAGGGATGTGGTGAAGTTCGCGTTAAGTAAAGCTTATGAATTGTGATAGTTTGCTTCTGCTGCAATACATTAGTCAAAAAACAATAGAAATACCAGATTCAGATATTATCAATAACACCAAGACCCAGCTAAAGTCTTAGCACTATCTTAAGCTGAACGGAAAGGCACAGCAGCTTCATCATCAACTACCGCAGCTGTTGACTAAATATCGCAAATGCATTTTAGTAATCAAACTTTAAGGGATTAATCTCAAAATGACTATACGTCACATCAAACATCGCATTCAAAAATTCTGCAATGAAAGACTTACAAAAGACAAACATCAGCAATAGTTTGATATACAACGCGGGTTATCCTATCATAACGCTTATATATACCAGTGGTGTAACGTGAACACAGAAATGTTCTTTACATAAACTCAACGTCGAGACCAAGATGTTGGACGATAAGTCGTATTTGCATCTAAGAATATCACGATCACATTGAGCCTAACATAGCAGTCCAGGTATAAGAGGATATGATTATAACACACAGAAAGAACAGTGTGTCATATACTGGAACTAACACTAACTATTCTCGCGTGCGCGAAGTTATCTTTGTGCCCCTGTCGAGCGTGGCGGGGGTTCGGGCAGGGGTGGAGTTGTGAAGACGAGCAGCATAGCCTTGATCGCTGTTGTGTCTTTTGCGATCATTGCTCATGGATCTGCTGGGCGGATCTTTGTTAAAGCCGTTTGCTAAGCTGCCTTCGACCGTAGAATCATTGTGGTTGAAACCTTTAATTTGCATCAAGGAACTCGTCTCGTTGTCGATCCCATTAGCAAGATTCTTCTTGCTGGGTGTGCCATTGCAAGTGCCATTCACATTGATATTAGCAGAGAGTCTCCTTATATTAGTGGCGCTCTGTGTCTCAGATGGCTCACTTGATCGAATATGAGCCCCAGTCCAACGCTGAGGAGTCGGTCTTACGTGATCTGACACGCTGCTGCGCGTGCTCTTAAGAGTACTTGAGGTGGAGACAGGGCGCGATTCTGCGATGCCCTCCTCACCAGGAGACGATGAGTGGACGCTGCCCGACAGGCGCATGTGGCCTGATTCCGAATTAGCGGTCCTGAAGCTGATGTTTGAGTTGGACGAGGAGACAGGACGACAACCCAGGCTGTGGCTAGAGTCGGAGGAAAGTCGGAAACTCAAGTTTGAGTTTGAAGCCGAGACACGAGAGGTGTTAGCATCCCCAGCATTGTCAATGCCTCGAACATATCTCGAGGAAAATACCGGTTGCTCCAAACAACCTTCGTCTTCTTCTGCAATGAGGCTGTTTTGATCGGCATTTGAGGCATCTAATGTCAAACCACTGCCCTTGTGATGTTTACCATATTTTCCACCTCCACGAGGCACTTTGGCATTAAGGTTGCTCTTGGAACTACGAAGAGACTTGCTTCCGTCAGAACTCAAGTTCACGCAAGAAATGGGAGTAGCGGGAGTACTCTTACTTCTGCTGTCTTCAGGGAAGTCTTCAACAATCGGAGATACTGAGCGCTTTTTGGACGCCACCTGGGCTACTCTAGCAGTCGACGTATTGTTTGGTCGCTCCTGGAACTGATCATCAAGTTCCTCGCCTTGTATATCGTCAAGCTGCACTGAACCGCTGGGGTTATTAACTCGCTCGGGAAGTGATGGCTTCACTACCCTCTTGCTTGGCCCTACGAAGCTCAGCACAACAGGCAGGAGGATGAGGCCATGAAGGGCTCCAATAACAACCATGCCGAAGTACATACGGAAGTAGAACACCTGGAAAATTTGTGAGTTGGCAAAAGCTAGCACGACGACTCCCATGTCACTGAGCGTGATACCGCTCAGCACGGACGGGCCCATCTTGATGATGGCTGCCTTGGCTCTCTCTATTCTGTTCTCTTTTTCAGACACAGCAAAAGCACGCGTTGTGTGTGAGCAAAACTCCACGGAGATGCCGATGGCAACAATGAGATTGACCAGCGAGAGGGCGTTGAGGGAGATGTCCCACATGTACATGAGGCCGCCCAGGTTCGTGAGGATCAGCACGACCATGACCATGATGACCATAGAGGACGCCACATCCAGACCCATCATGATGAGCGTGATCACGAAGATGGCCATTACGGAGATACCCAACATGCGCACCGTGTCTTCCCAGATCGTCAAGTATTGCTCGTAGAACACATAGAACACACTGCAAATCAGAGAATATATTAGTCACCGCGAAATAGGTGAAATTTTTCTAACATACATTTTAATGGCACTTGTTACTAATTATTTATTCGAAATAATAGTTAAAAAGTTTATTAGAATTCTTTAAAAAGCTTTGGATAATCCTTATATAATGGAAACATGATAGAGAGAACATGGTAGCATAGAATATGATAAAAGGATCACACAAAAATGAAATCAAAATAAACGTTTTTCCAACATACGAGGTAAATATCAAAATAATTTCCCAACAAGAGCAACAGATTCATCGATAGATTGATTATGACTACGAAGAAACACCTAAACAGACAGGAATGGTATAGCCAAGAAATGTAAGAAGTTCTGAAAAAATTTATCAAAATTCGCACCTGTACGGGAATACTTCATAGTTAGTGTCTCCAGGAACCATAACGCCGTCTTCTGAAACTAAGTTGAGGGTTCGCGTGATGTTATCAGCGATGGTCCTGGCTACGCGCATGGCCTCGTAGAAGTGATGTGATGAGCGCATCACCGTGTGGTACGTCATAAACACTGACGCACCCACCACGTCGCTGCCAGACGCGTCGTCACGTATTTTAACGCTCTGTTAAAAGTCAAAATATCATTTTTAACGCTCTGTTTCAAGTAAAAAATTTAGGTTAGTACAACGGATGATTCTCTTGTGTCTACAGTTTTGGATTTTTTATTAAATATGTAATATTGAAAATAATGAATGATTATTCTCTCTGCATAAGATCATTATCTTTCATGAAATTAGTGTAATGAGCGCGGTTATTGTTTGAGAACTTATGCCTAAAAATTAAGAGTTTAAAAATGAGATCAATGACGGATGCTGGAGTCTATAAATATTATTGCCTTTTCATACCAAATTTATCTTCAAGATATGGAATCAAAACCCTGAACTTTAGCTACCTCATACCAAATAGAAAGAACTTGTGACTTATTAGTAGTTGCGTCCACTGACTCAACTCAACTAGCAAAATTCTAAGCACTAAACTAACACAAAAAAAATGTCTCTTATCAAATTTACTTGGCTATAAGCAGCGTGTCCGGCCTTAGGACACTGCATGTCTGGGTTATCTTTAAGGAACATAGCGATGTATTCATTGAAGAGCTCAGGGTCTGGTCTGAACTCGTTGTAGGGCAGCGCGTCGATGGGGCAGCTGTGGCACAGCTTTGTCTGCTTGCGGCGTCGCGGCCCCGACGCCAGGCGACCAGACCGCTTCACACGTGGCTGTGTCGGCTCTGCAGAGCAAAACTTTACATTATGCGTGCAATTAAGAGCATAAAAATCTATCGAAACATGCAGCCGAGATCATCATAACGTACAGATTCCTGCGTCAGCTCTGCATGACAAAACTTCACAATATACAAGCAATTAAGAGCATAAAAATCTATCAAAACATGCAGTCGAGATCATCATAACGTACAGATTCCTGCGTCGGCTTAGCATGACAAAACTTTACAATATACAAGCAATTAAGAGCATAAAAATCTATCAAAACATGCAGTCGAGATCATCATAACGTACAGATTCCTGCGTCGGCTTAGCATGACAAAACTTTACAATATACAAGCAATTAAGAGCATAAAAATCTATCAAAACATGCAGCCGAGATCATCATAACGTACAGATTCCTGCGTCGGCTTTGCATGACAAAATTTTACAATATACATGCAATTATGAGCATAAAAGTCTATCGAAACATGCAGCCAAGATTATCACAATTTACAAATTCATATAAGTAATTATGAATTTATGTAAAATAATCCATCTAACATAACCCCACACACAACACAATAGCAGTCTGCCAGCAGTCACGGATCAAATAAGAAATAAGTGAAGTAGTGAGCTTACCGATCACGCGGAGTTCCGATGATGAAGGTGATTGCGATGTTGAAGCAGCTCTGGTGGTAGAAGTTATCGTGGTTGTGGTAGTACGGGCGGTTGTTTCAAAAGATGGCTTCTTTGTAGTGGGACTTTCTAGCACTGCTTTGCGTTTAGGGGAAGTTTTCGGGGGATCATAGTTATAGAGGGGATTGTGGTCCCCGTAAGAATAATCATACTCGTCGTACTCCTCAGGCTCGTTGACAAAATCAACATCTGCCGCTGCATAATCCACATTGAGATCCCCATAGCTGTACTCGTCGCTGCCGCCATCTTCGTGTGTGGGTGCGATGGTTGAGGAAGCAGCTTCCTGTTCAGGGAATACGAACGAGTCTTCTGATCCTCGGGGGCAGAAGGATTGGTTTGCGAAGAGGCGACAGCAGCGAGGCTCGAGACTCCATTCAAAATAATCGTCAATCCAAGCGCTGGAAGGAACAGCGATGAATGTTCTGTTAGGGACCTGAGACGCTAGCTTGATCTGGATCACGAGCGAGTCCTTGTTGCAGCCAAGATGTGAACATACCTGCGGCAATGTTATTTTTAACGTCAATAGGAGTAAATCAGCATTGTAGTTTTTGTGTCCGATGAAAAATATTAACCCCCATATGTCACTCTCTGGGAATATAGCTTTCAACTTAAATCATACGAAAACTATTGAGTGTGGCAACCTGAGGACGTTTGTACGCAACAGAGAACATTTTAAAGTTGTCGTACGTGGCGGCAACCATCAGTGCAAGTCATTTTGCGCTCACTAGAACGTATCCTTTTTTGGGAAGTAGGCTTGTGACAATATTGCTCTGGTTACTCATGTCAGGCGGTAGAAGGTTAAAGCATTAGAAAAGCCAGTAAACATGCACCAATTAAGCCATTAATTGCTCGAAAGACCCAACTTAATTTAAGATAAAACTAGATGTTGCAATTAGAAATGAATAGCATCACATTTTAGAAACTATTTCAAATTTCAAGTAATTACTTATCAAATAGGCAGTTATCAGAAGTACCTAATTTCATTACTGCAATACCAAGACGTTAGAGCAACTTATTCAAATTCTCATCTGAAACGCATAAAAATACATAAATGTTGCTAAGAAAACGCAAGAGAAATCACGTGGACGATACCTTGTTCTGCATATCGTAGTCAGTGAAGTTGTAACCGTGTTTGAGGACAAAGTATACGGGAGGGCCCACGCAGCCGTATTTCTCGAGGTACTGCGAGTAAAAATATCGCTACATTAGAAAACTGCAATAACAACTTGTCTCAATATAAGTTGGTTGTTGAAGCTAAATGTGATATAAAATGTGAAAACACGCAAGCAACTTCAAGCAAACTTCAGTCACGAATAAAAAATTTCAACACAATTCAAAAATTGATATCTAATAAACAACTCTTAGCGTTCTTAAATTCAACAATGATTGTCTTGTTGTAGCTGGCTTCGAATTACGAGAAAGAGAATTTTTACTTGAAAAACAGGAATAAGCACCTGAATCTGGCGAATCTGGCCTACATAAGCGAATCTGGACTAGACAAATTTAGGGTTTGAGAATTTGCAAGAGCTAAGAAAACTTGTTCAAAAGAAACTAAACTTTGATCAAAATCTAACCTAGAAAATATAAAAAGAAAATTATTTAAACAAGTAAAAATTTATAGTTTGAACTCTAACCGCGAAATATTTAGAGATATAAGAAAATACATTTAATAGCATAATATTCCCAATTTCACCTAGAAATATCAAAGCACATCAAGAATACATTCGAATTTCAGACTACCTGATTGCACGTTAAATTCCTACCGAGTTTAGGAGCACTTGTACATCTGCAATCACATAAGGGTTAAAAAACTAGCTGAATATATTTAATTTAGACAGTCACCTCAAAATATTTAAGCACGTAAGAATCATCAGGCATGGATACCGACAAGGGTTAAAAATCTAGCAAAATATATTTAATTTAGAGTTTCACCTCGAAATATTTAAGCACGTAAGAATCATCAGGCATGGATAGCTACTCCTCGAGCCCGGCTTTAACATCTGCAATCCGACAAGGGTTAAAAAGCTAGCTGCATCTATTTAATTTAGACAGTCACCTCGAAATATTTAAGCACGTAAGAATCATCAGGCATGGAGAGTTCCTCCTCGAGTCCGACTTTAATATGAGGCACCATGGCGATGGAGGCGCACACCCAGAACAAGAAGACGACCACGACGAGGGCTCGTACGCACGGCCGCATCAGGAACGGAGCGTAGTTCTCCTCGAAGACGCGTGGCAAGAACCGCGTCTCTTGGCCCACTTCTAGGCTCTTGCTCTTCTTGATGCAGCACAGCACGTCTACGCGGTTGGACTGATAACACACATTATAAGAGAAGTAAATTTATTGATGTAACGCACGTACATAATACACTCGCGTACATAATACGCATGTACGCTAATACAGCTGCCAATTTATTTGTAACGCAAATACATAATAAGACATAAATAACAGATAACAAATAAATGAACACATAAATAACAGATAACAAATAAATAAACATATAAATACCATAGATAACAAATAAATAAGCACATAAATAATGCAGATAATAAATAAGCACATAAATAACATAGATAATAAATAAATAAGCACATAAATAACACGGATAACAAATAAATATAACCGCAAATAAATTACACAGATAACTACCATGAAATTGACTAGCGTATACATTTTTAAGATCCTTAGGATTAAATGTAACGCTGCGTGGCGCACAATCAAAATCATAGCTTTTAACTACGTCATCTAAGCACACCAATCACAGACGAGAAATCGCCCGCTACGTGTATTCAAGTTTTGATAGATAGAAACGTTACGAAGTTTTTAGATCATCACATCGACTAAACTAACTATTACAGTGTATTCAAGTTTTGATAGTACGGGCTTAGGTTGAACCGTTACGAAGTTTTTAGATCACAACAGCGACTAAACTAACTACTGCAGTAGGCTAACCATGAATATTCTTATCGGTCCGATAACAAAATTCTGTAATTCATTCATTTTGGTGACCTTTGTGATAAAAGGGTCGATAAAATACATTATATATAATTAATTTATTATCAATATGGAAGAGAACAATGATGGCACACAGGCGTAAATGTTCACCTCTTCTCTGCGAACATCTAATTTATTATCAGTATGGAAGAGAATGACGATGGCACACAGGCGTAAATGTATACCTCTTCTCTGCGAACATCTAAGGAGAAGAGCGCGACGAAGAGCGACATCTGCAGGACGAAGTTGATGAGAAGCGACATACCCGCGTACAGCGCGAACGCCCGCACTGCTGGCATGTCGGACAAGGCACCTGCACACAAGCGACCGTTAATAGCATACAATGTCATGAGGGCTTAAAATTGTGATAGTTAAATGATCTCTACAAATTTCCAAGATCATCACTGAAATATCTAATATCAACACTAAAATATCCGAGCCTTAAAATTGTGATAGTTAAATGATTTCTACAAATTTCCAAGATCATCACTAAAATATCTAATATCAACACTAAAATATCTGAGCCTTAAAATTGTGATAGTTAAATGATCTCTACAAATTTCCGAGATCATCCTTGAAAATATCATCACTAAACTATCTAAATACTAATAAGATCATTACAATATAAAAGATAATCATTAGAAACGAAGCAGTTTTTACAGTTAAAAACGTTCATATAAAATATAATGAACATAATTGGATATGAATGAATAAATAGTAAAATGAATGTAACTCGCTATATTGAATATCCAGCGAGACATGAACTTCAAATTTAATTCACCTAAAAATGCATGGAAGGTCAATCACTACAAAAGTTATTGATTAAAAGATTTTTACAAATAATAACAATAAATTTTTGCAAATAACAAAACAACAGATGATAATGCAAACTGATTTCATGAGCAACCGATAAGACACAGCGATATGTCGCTTCATCTTTCAAAACTTGAGTAGGATTATTTATTTAAAATAGCCGTAAATCCTTGCCCAGGTCCTCAGTAAACAGCTGTAAATCTTTGACCAGGTCCTCAGTAAACAGCAGTAAATCCTTGCCAGGTCCTCAGTAAACAGCAGTAAATCTTTAACCAGGTCCCCAGTATTATTTTTCATTTTTTTAGCGAATAGATAATTATCAAGATGTGACTAGTATCTTCATCTGCCGTCATTAACGAGGGCCAGTCAACTAACCCAGGAAGAAGCAGCAGGCCTGCGACAGGGACGACAAGAGCATGGACGGTCCCACGTCGCCCACGGCGGCGCCCATCAGCTGCGCCCTCTTGCGGTCACGGGCGGCGCCGCTCAGCTGCGACAGCTCACCTGTGCACAATAAAACTGTCATGAGTTAAGGAATAAAAAACTTTAAAATTTACTTTAGTAAATAGATGTTTGTAAAAGTATATGAGATATGAGACGCTCTAAATCCTGAAGCATTACTGCGAATTTGACTGAACTGCAACAGTGCACCTACAGGGCAATACAATTATTAAGGGAAAAAACTTTAAAATTTCACTGATTAGAACAAATGTTTACCTATGTATGGATACTATTAAACAGCCTAAATCCAAATATCATTCATAGAAATTTGACTAAGCAGTGACGGGATGCTAGCAGAGGTAAACCCCTTGTAAGCAAAAACAAGAGAACGAGAAACTGGATAAACTGACTTATTAAAAAAAACATTTGATGCAACACTCAGAATCTAGGAATTATTCAATGAAATTCAGTTCGTATAATAATAAAAAAAGCTCAAAGAAGGTCGAGTTAATCTCAAAAAAAAATAAAGGAAAAATTTGATAAGGATTAGTTTGAAAGTAGTAAAGTATTATATATAAATGCTGATTATGAATGATGCAGGAAGTGTTAATGCTGACTCACTAGCATCGAGGGCTGAGTAAGCTTCAACCAAGATGAAGATATTATCAACACCAACAGCCAGCACCAGAAATGGTATGACTTCGATGATAAGCATCGTGCATGGCACCCCAGCAAAGCCATACAAGCCCACGGCAGCGAACACCGACAGCAGCACGATGAGCACGCCGCCCAGCCCCAGCGTCACCTTCGTCGACACCTTCACAGAAAATTAATATTATAATGATGGCCATACACGTCATATTATGATGATGGCCGAAACATCAAGTTATGATGATGGTGGAGAGGTCAAATTATGATGATGGCCATAAGCGCCACCTCTTGTTGCCTCGTCAGCTGGCAAGCAAGGCAAGAGGCAGCGAGATCAATAATAATAACAAAAATCTATCATAACTTTGTCATAAGACTCAAAATAATTGGGCCATTAGGCTCAATGTATTTGTGTCATTATACTCATTGGTCATATCATAGTTAATTATGACATAAAACTCATTATAATTGTGTCATTAGACTCGTTAGGTTTGAGTCATTCATCTGATTATAGTTAACACATGAAACTCATTATAATTGTGTCATTAGACTCATCAAGGTTGTGTCATTCATCTAATTATAGTCACGCATTAAACTCATTATAATTGTGTTATTAGACTCATCAACGTTCGAGTCATTCATCTGATTATAGTTAAGACATAAAACTTATAATAATAGTGCCATTAAACTCATCAAGGTTATGTCATGTAAGGCATTTTACTGACGAGTAGCCTGCTGGGCTGGTCAGTACGGCCGAGAGCGAGGGCGATGTAGATGAACATGATGACGTACGAGACGATGACGGTCGGTACGTCACTCTTGCTCATGCGCTCCAGCTCGTCTTCGATGGAACGTTCTGAGCGGAACGCAATGTCCAGGGAAGGGTTGTTGTACTCCAACAAGAACTCGTTGAAGCTGCACGACAATGCAAACTTTTAATGAACATAGAAAAGAGAAGAAATTTAAAATTTTATACAAGGCTTTTTTTCTAACTAACATGAAAGAGAAGATAAGTTAATAACATGTCAACTGGCTTAATACAATAAATGAAAGTCTTGATCGCGTTCACTGAACGTCTGCAAGAGTGTATGTTGGTAAGACAAACTTAGGCATAAGATTCTCATGCAAAGAATAACATTGATAGAAATTATCGAACAATTACTGCATCGATCACGCATAGGTGTTAACAACTAACCTCTTCTCCCAGGCTAGGGCAGGAAGAAGTTTGGTTTTGTTGTAGAAGTTGTCAATAAGGAAGGTGATGACGAGGGTGTCAGCGGCCAAATAGTCAGGGTCGTCACTGAGAGCTTGCTGGGGGGCTAGGAAACCTCCTAGTGCAACGTGGGGCAGGACTGGGCCTCCGTAGGTCCCGAGGCACTCGGGGAAGTAACGATTGCTGTAGGGTATCAAAAATTCTGTTCATAATCTTGTAATGAGTTCAGAACACTTTTGAAACGCTACATTATTTCTGCTACTACATCATTTCACAACAGGCGATATCAAGTAATCGAAAAACAAATTCCCACATTTCTCCACGTAAAACTCCCGCTTTCTCCACGTAAAACTCCCACATTTCTCCACGTAAAACTCCCACATTTCTCCACGTAAAACTCCCACATTTCTCCAAGTAAAACTCCCGCATTTCTCCACGTAGAACTCCCACATTTCTCCACGTTAAACTCCCACATTTCTCCACGTAAAACTCCCACATTTCTACACGTAAAACTCCCACATTTCTGCAAGTAAAACTCCCACATTTCTCCACGTAAAACTCCCACATTTCTCCTCATAAAACTTCCACATTTTTCCACATAAAACTCCCACAGCAAGTGTTCGTACAAGTAACTACCACATTTCTCCTGCTACATCCATAACTCATAAATTTGTAAAACCTATACAAGAATTACAGTAGACAAATCTCACTTGATGCACTTGAGGGCGTGCATGGGCACGTCGGAAGAGTCGAGTTTGCTCTCGTCGTTCTGCCAGTAGTTGAGGACGCTCTGGATGTTGCAGTTGATGTTGTCAGGCGCCAGTGGTTTGTTGCAGATGTTGTCCAGCTTTGATGGCTCGACCATTCCTTCCATTTTGCCTTCCAGCTAACGAGACGATACTTTCGGTCAGGTTTACAGCTCTTTTAAAGTTACAAAGGGCCGAATGTCGACAAGTTCATCCACTTGCGATAGCAGAATATTATTAAATTTTCTTTAATATGATTGGCCATTTCTCCCACTTCGCCTTCCAGCAAACAAGCAGCATATTTCAGTCGGGTTTATAGTTCTTTAACGTTGCAATGAAGCCGAATGTCAACGAGTTCATTCGATTCCTATATCAGTGAATGTTTTTTAATGTAATCGTGTTGAAAGCATGGCACGTATGAAGTAATTGGTTGAAATTAAGCGCACTCACATGAACTTATTGAGTCTTCAGAGCAAATCTATTGCCAAACTCTAACTAAGCCTTTATTGTAGAATTAATACGGAGAAGAAACTTAACAATCCCCTCTGCATCTACCACAAACTCTCACGCAATATCATACCAAAGAATTGTGCTAGAAAATGTAAAAAAATACTTGTAAATCACCAGAGGTTTGGTAGAAACAGGATCCTCAATCATTACCTTATATTGAATATGATCCTGTAGACGTAGCACCTCACGCAGGAAGCTCTTGTTGAAAACTGGCCCAAAGGTCAGGTTGTTGTGCTCAAACTGCACAGAGGAATTAGATGTATGGAAGGATATGTTAGGAAATAGAGATCAGTTAGACCAATTGTGAGCAACAACACAACGTTTAAACGCACGTAATCCTGATAAAAACAGAAGAATCATCGACAGTCAGTCGTGAGTTTCTTTTTAAAGTATATGAAACAACTTAGTCTGTGTCTCAGATAATCAAACAAAAATTATTTTCGCTTAATTTACGGCAGTTTAATAGTAGCCTTTTAACTACTTCTGCAGCTTTAATCCTATGTTCTTAATTATAAAAGGTTAATCAAGAAGCAGTTCTAGTTTTTATAACTTACGATCCTCGTTATATCGTAAACAAATCCAAATTAAAAACCTATGTGAGTAAAGCAATAAATTCTCTCCAGCTTAGAATGCTCTGTTGAAACATACAAGGAGTTGAATATCCTTGATGCGGGGGCATTAGATTCGTCCTCAAGGATGGTCTTAAGTGTAAACGTCACTCAGCACCTCACTCAGTTTACGACGCAGGTCAACCTACGCAATCTAGTGCCTACACCGCACTTCTCATTGGAGTGCGTTCAGAATAATATTAATACATGATAGAAAAAAATCATATTTTTTCTAATTACATTTATTAGAATAATATTTGAATCTGACTAAGGGTCTTCCGTATTAGAGTAAGAAATGTGCGCCACACACTTTCGAAACTCTCTGATTAATTGATACGTGACTTATACCCTGAAATGTGTCAGTAAGAGGTAAGTGACCCTCCAAAATATGTTAGTACGAGACACGTAACTACACCCGGAAAAGTCTCAGTAAAAAATAAGTAACCCTCCAAAATATCTTAGTAGGAGATACGTGACTCACACTCTCGTATCCGACAGGTCTGATGAAGATCTGAGCGGTGCGGTAGAAAGGCTCGAAGTTTGTGTCGTAATAATCCTTCTCGAGGCGGGACTTGGAGGTGGGGGAGGCCCAGAGCTCCACGGGGTCCGTGGTCATGTCGAGGTACATGATGCCTACACAGAGGGCACCTGCCAGAGCAGCACCCAGCACCATCACCTTCCAGGGGTTACTGCAGCAAACTGAAACCAGAGAGCCAGAGTCAGTTGGCATTATTTTAAACACTTTTTGACACCCAACTTCTTGTCGCCCCTTGTAAGTATCAATACCCCAAGAGTATCACTCGCAGGCCCCCCCAAAGTATCAATACCCCAAGAGTATCATTCGCAGGTCCCCCGAAAGTATCAATACACCAACAGTATCACTTGCAGGTCCCCCCAAAGTATCAATACACCAAGAGTATCATTCGCAGGTCCCCCGAAAGTATCAATACACCAACAGTATCACTCGCAGGTCCCCCAAAAGTATCAATACCCCAACAGTATCACTCGCAGGTGCCCACAAAGTATCAATACCCCAACAGTATCACTCGCAGGTCCCCCAAAAGTATCAATACCCCAAGAGTATCACTCGCAGGTGCCCCCAAAGTATCAATACCCCAACAGTATCACTCGCAGGTCCCCCCAAAGTATCAATACCCCACTAGTATCACTCGCAGGTGCCCCCAAAGTATCAATAGCCCCAGAGTATCACTCGCAGGTGCCCCTAAAGTATAAATACCCAAATATCACTCGCAGGTGCCCCCAAAGTATCAATACCCCAACAGTATCACTCGTACGTGCCCTAACTGGCACTCACACGTGCCCCACTTCTGGAAGAGCGTGTCAACGGCGCTCTGCGTCCACGAGGAGAGGCGGTCGCTGAGGGTGAGCTCTTCGCGCGTCACGCACTCCGGCAGCTCCTCTACGGGACGACCTGAACAAACATACATCATTATTATCATTACCATCATTCAGTCCATATATCATTAATTAATATCATATATCATTATTATCATTACCATCATTCAGTCCATACATCATTATTGTTACAAATCATTCGGTCCATATATAATTAATTACCATTACAGATCATTCGGTCCATATATTATTAATTACCATTACAGATCATTCAGTCCATATATTATTAATTACCATTACAGATCGTTCAGTTTACTTATTATCATTATTGTTAGTTACATTAATTACCCATCAGCCATCCATCGTAATTATCATTATAGGCCAGCGAGTTGACTTATAGCCCTTATTATAGTTAGTTTATAATTCGGTATTCATTTCAGCCGTTTTTAGAATATATCTAGATCATTCAGTTGACTTCTCAACATTACTCTTAATTAGATTAATCAATAATTTACTCATTACACATTACTCTTAGTTAACGCAATTATACAAGTAGGTTGACTGTATTAGACACAGCTATAGAAGAAAAAGAAATACTATACACCACTATACAAATAAAAGTTAGAACTATATACTAGTATTTGTAGTACAGCATTACACACTACGCATTCTAGAGAAAGTGAAAACAATAATTTTGTTACGAATTTCATGTGGGGCGATAAACTTCAATGTTTCTTGACGCTTCATACAATAAATGGGATTACTACATTACTTTTTATGATATAATTATTATTTAAAGTAGGCTCCAGGCACTGCACTCGACACACGTTCTCTTACCCGCTCGAGTGGACGCCTTCACAGACATTATTGATATTTCCATTCAATCAAAAATCATAAATGAAAACTGAATGTTCAGATAGATAAAATATAAGTGTAAACTTGAAACGTGGCAAATTTTGGAAAATAATAAAATTTAATGAGAACTTATTCATTTGAGGAAATAACGAAAATGGTGAAGATGGAAATGAATAAAGAAATGAATACAAAAACAGAGAGAATTTGGAGAACATGAATAAAGATGAAGGTAGACGTAATTGATAACTAAAGAATAATGCACAAGATGAAGAATTATAATGGGAAGCCAATCATTTAACAAAAAAGAAGGCCAAAGAACCATTGAGCAGCGCGTTCTCATCCTCTCCGGAGAACTGGGGCTTGTTGTGGTTCATCTGCGCGAGGCGAGACGCGACCGCGGACCGGAACTCTTCGTGGTTACGTAGACTGCGCTCCACCATCACCGCTGACAAGGAAAGTTACTTAGTTTAATGCTCACATGCTTACTGTTTGGTTAGTTAAGTAAGAAAAAAAGAATACTAGAGTTACAGTTATTTAGATATCTCGTAGTCAAGATGAATAGCACCAGCGAAGTGAACGGTCGCAACTGTCGAAAGTTTTTCAAATTGAAAATTGTTAATCGCCCACAGAAAGGATGGACAGGTGACAAGAAGAGACAGGTGACAAGAAGAGACAGGTGACAAGGAGGGACAGGTGACAAGAAGAGACAGGTGACAAGGAGGGACAGGTGACAAGGAGGGACAGGTGACAAGGAGGGACAAGTGACAAGGAGGGACAGGTGACAAGGAGGGACAGGTGACAAGGAGGGACAGGTGACAAGGAGGGACAAGTAACAAGAGGGACAGGTGACAAACAGGTGACAAGGAGGGACAGGTGAAAAGCAACAGAAACTAAGACACTCGAACAAGAGGTCGCTTATACGGGACGTCGGCCACCCGCACGAGAGAGACAGAGAATGGAAATGTAAGGTACCGATATCCTACCTACATAATAACTTAATGTAAGGAGGAATCCTACCTACATAATAACCTAATATAAGGAGGAATCCTACCTACATAATAACTTAACCCCTTAGCTACCCTGCCTACATAATAATTCAACCATACAATTGAGCCTGCTGTCAGCGGTGGAGGGCTCTGGAACAATGCCTTTAGGAACGCGAAATTTTTACGAGCACACAAGTCAGAAGTCCCCACTGAGGGGCCGGCGAGAAAAATACAGGTAAACTCACGCACATAAAATGAGCTTCAACAAATAATATGCAAATTCTGAAATAGAAATCGTATAATGGCACACAAAATGAACAAGTCAAATGATGTGTCGAATTGAAATACAAATCGGTTATAGAATATTGACATATGACGATTGAGAATACTAAAGAAAATATATTTGCTTCAGTTTTGGGAAATAGAGTAGACTCAATGATGCTCGTCTTGCAATTCACGTCTCTTTATTGTAACAACACTGGACAGTTGTTCAGAATAAAATTTCAGAATATTATAAGTGGAAACTAAGGATATATTCTGTAATAATTTAGTTCATTATAATATTTATACTTAAAAACCTCTTTTTCTCCACATTATAGCAAACGAATGCAATAATCACCTTGTTCCCGACGATATTACCAAGAGGTAATAACAAGTAACATGACTAACATGTAATAAGAGGTAATATCAGCGCGAGGTAGTAAAGAGTGATCACCTTTATATTTCTTGTTCCTCTTATGGCAGTAAGCAAAGAGTACAAGGAAGACAGCGCTGCAGAGGATGGCAGTAAGACACATGGCCACGGCCAGGCCGTCGTAGCCAAACATGAGCCACGGGGTGCCGCTGCCGTCCTCCCACCGCTCCGGTATCACGGGACATGACCGCTCGCAGTCCGCACATGTGCACGCCAGGCTCGACTGCACGCAAATGGTGATGGTTAGGATAATCATTGTGATGGTGGTGATGGTTATGATTATGGTGGTTATGGTGATGATGGTAATGATGATGTTGGTTATGGTGATGATGATAATGGTGGCACGCCAGGCTGGACTGCACGGGTAGCATCATCGTTAGGATGGTCATTGTTATGATGCAATCCTGCAGCCATATATCCTGCCACGCCAGGCTAGACTGCACGTGTATCATCATCGTTATTGGTTTGCAAGATGACATATTGATATATACAGTGGGGGGAAATAAATATTCGTACACTTGAAAAATCGTATTTTAATGTATGTAAGTACACAAACTTAACAGGAAAAGTGATTTAAATTATGTATAGAGACGCATAGTATTCAAAAATACTATCAAAAGAAATTAAATCTCAATGCAACAAAAAACAATACAACATGTTCCCTTTTCGGGGTGAAAAAAGTATTCGTACAAAACAATAAATCCGCATTATTTTAATTTAAAACTTGGTTGAATACCCTTTATTCAGCTCAACAGACACCAGTCTATTTCTATACGTCTCGACCAATGATTTGCAGATGCTGACTGGTATTTTATACCATTCTTCACCTGTTAAGTTTGTGTACTTACATACATTAAAATACGATTTTTCAAGTGTACGAATATTTATTTCCCCCCACTGTACTTTCATATTGATATTCACATATCGGTTTGGATGATGATGATGTTTATAGTGATAATGGCTATGATGGTTATGGTGATGATGGTGGTTATGGTCAATCAAACAAAATATCTAGTATATTTTGTATAGTTATATAGTATGCATGGGACCAAGCAGCAGACCTCGAGCTGAGCACTGCAGTGCTGTGCCTGGTGCTGTAAGGGCTCCACCCCCGGGGGCAACAGGTCGCCAGGGTCGGTGTAGACGTAACGGATGCCGAGGGGCGTGTGCTCGTTATGTTCGTAGTCCCCCAGGTAGTCAAAGAGACGTTCTCCCGAACACTGCGCCGCCCCCCACTTACCGCAGAACATTTCTGATAAGGTATTAGGTGTGATAACGACCATAATTCCTTCATAACAATAATGCAGAACATTTCTGATAATGGTATTAGGTGTGATAACGACCATAATTCCTTCATAAAAATAATGAGTGATATAACATGTATATTGTATGATAATTAACAAATGACTGTATACACGACAAATGTGATACAATGTAAAGAAGAAACTCTGAGTGTAACATATTGATTATAGTGTGATATACGTAGTGCAATTAATAGATAAATGATTTGAAGAGTAACATTCGAATTATGCGAGTGATGGATACTAAATGACTTGAAGTACGTATAACATTTGAATTATGCCAGTAATAAATAAAAGACTTGAAGTGTAACATTTGAACTATGCGAGTTATACATAAATGATTTGAAGAGTAACATTTGAATTATGCGATTGATAGATAAGTGACTTGAAGTATAACATTTGAATTATGTGAGTAAACATGAGTAACCGGAGCAATATTGTCACACATGAACTTCCCAGAAAGGATACGTTCTAGTGAGCGCAAAATGACTTGCACTGATGGTTGCCGCCACGTACGACAACTTTAAAATGTTCTCTGTTGCGTACAAACGTCCTCAGGTTGCTACACTCAATAGTTTACGTATAATTTGCCGCCACGTACGACAACTTTAAAATGTTCTCTGTTGCGTACAAACGTCCTCAGGTTGCTACACTCAATAGTTTACGTATAATTTCAGTTGAAAGTTATGTTCCCGGAGAGTGACATACGGCAGTAGAGGGTTAATAATATATAATAATCATAATAATATATAACATCATAATAATATAATAAGTAATATATATATCATAATAATATAATAATCATAATATATAATATAATACAATAAAATACAATATAATATAATAGTCGTAATATAATATAAGTGGTAGAACAGACCCATAACACGGCCATTGGTAGACGGGTTGACGACATCTTTACAGGAGCTGTAGATCTCCTCCACGAAGCCCCGTGAGATGTAGAAGTCGATGGCTGTCACCATCTGCGTGTCTGTACAATGAATCTTTATTGTAACTTCTGCATTTGCTTCTTGAGTTCCATTTAATTAAGCGAAACTGTTCTTATACAAGAAACTTTACATACCGAAATTAGGAACAAATCTTTCAGATAAGCTAGGGTTCTGTTGCAGTTGGGCTTTTTGGACGGATGATGTTACAACAGTGCAAAAACTAATTCAGAACCAAAGGAAAATCTAATTGGAATCTTTGCTATGTTCCATCAAAATAAACGGCAATGCGTTATCAACTACTTCTCGATATATACTTATACAGTCTCGATTTATTCCCATATACTCACATAATCTTCTCCTGCTTTCAACTCTTTTCAAATCTCATACTAATAGCGACCAAAAGTCCCAGAGATTGTAGAAATAAAATTTATTCGTCGACGAATATGAAAAAAATGCATTTTCACATCGTCGACGAAGATTAAAAAAAATGTATTTCTATAATACCTCACCAGGCTTATGTTTGAAGTTAGCAGGGGAGTACTGCGTGGGCTTGAGGAATGAGGAATGTGTGGGAGAGCACGTCATGTAGCAGAAAGGGATGCGTATGTTACGCATGCACGCAGGGCAGCGCGCCAGTAACATCTTCATAAGGTTCAAGGAGTTGGACAGTCCTAGGACTTGTTCAGCGTCGCAGCACGTCTCCACTGGACCGGAGCCTGCGGCCATAATTAATGTGATAATAAGAAAATCTGTTATATTGTACAAATATTGACACACCATAATTAATGTGACAATAAGAAAATGTGTTAAATTCTACAAATAGTGATACACTTTCTTGAGCAACCTGCTATAGGCGTCACTCCACGTCTCCGGAGGACCGGAGCCTGCGGTCATAATGGCGTCATTAGCGTAGCACTTCTCTGCCGCCCTTAATTTAATTAGAACTGTAATCTCATTTAATAAGTACGTTTTTCTCGTCTAATTAGCACGTCATTCTCATGTAAATACCACATTATCCTCATGTAAACACACACGCAATAAAGTCTCTACGCACCGTATCCTGCATTAGCGTAGCACTTCTCTGCCGCCACTTAATATAATTAGAACTGTAATCTCATTTAATAAATTAATAAGTAGGTAGGTTTTTCTCGTTTAATTAATACACCATTCTCATGTAGATAGTACATTATCCTGATGTAAACACACATGCAATCAAGTCATTTATTATAAACATACGCACCGTATTCAGCGAGCAGCTCCGGGCACGCCTGTCTGAGCTATCTATCATTTCTATGCGGCCACTTAATATAATAAGAATTGTAATCTCATTTAATAAGTACGTTTTCCTCGTCTAATTAGCACGTCATTCTCATGTAGATAGTACATTATCCTGATGTAAAGACACACACAATAAAGTATACGCACCGTATTCAGCTAGCAGCTCCGGACACGCCTGTCTCAGCATGTCGGTAGCTGCGGCAGGCAGCAGCGTCGCGCTGCCGTTGTAGGCGCAGTTTACGTTGCTGCTGCGGCCCTGGTTACCGCACTCGCCGTGCCATATACACTGACCGCCTTCCACCTGTCAACATATAAAAACATTAATGATATACATTGATTTATATACACATTACAACACCATTATTTTGTTACATGATTCCCAACGACTTGTGCAAGTTCATTCGCCGTACCATATGCACCCCCCACCTGTTGACATTAACATTATTTATATTATTATTTATTACCATTATTTAGGTATATAATCCTTAGATTCAAAGATACATTCAACATCAACTATAATGTTATATAGTACACACCGTCCTTGATTACTGCACTAGCTGTACAAGACAGTGGTGGACACAGAGGTCTCAGCTTCAGACATTCCAGATTTCAATGCCGTACTATTCACTAAGAATGAATTTTCAGGTCCAGGTAATATCCGGGACCCAACAGCCCCTATATATTGAGACACCAGGCTTCAAGTAAACTCACAAACAAACTCAGACAAACACATAAAAGATTTTGTAAGATTGGAATGTTTATAGCTCGGCGCCGTAAAAACCCCGCGTCCACGGTATATCTGCCGTCGTCGTTCAATTTTATTCTCGGTGCTTGGATCATTGGGCATCGCTAAATCAGCAGGAAATGAGGGTTGGATTAAAAGATAAATTTCTAGTTTTCATTTATGAATAAAAATCAAAACATTAAAACTAGCCGACATATTACAGTTGCCTTTGTCAGGGGTTAAGTTTACACACACCACATGTGCAAAAGTGGTTAATGTATAAAATAAAAAATGAATTTCATTTCGTGTCGGTACTATCATAGTCCGACTGAGCTATACTAAATTTAATTCATATAATAATTATGAAAATGACATAACACCGCGAATAGAAGGGGATGGCACAGCATCACCGACATGTGCCAGCAAATGAGACCAATTAATCACCATTTATTAACAATCATAACACACAAGGGATAATGAAACGTGATTGTCAAGCACCACATCGATATACATACACCGAGAACAATACGCAATTACAGGGATACGAGATTGCATACAACAAATTTTTGGCAAGTGCAATTGAAAGGATCAAACGCGATAAGACCTTCCCGAGTGTCTGGTTTAATTTTTTTGCATTAAACATTATTTTACAACGTTATAATTGTACCGTGCATTTAGGTTAAATTGTAGCTATATGCAAGCCGACAAGATTTTAAACGGTCATCAGCAAAGATGGTGTTTTGGTATTGAAACGCCGAGTTATTCTTATAAAAAGCCATGACTTAAGCAGAGCTATTTTGAATATGAATAATGCTGCAAGCAACTGTTTGACTTGAAGCTAATCTTTCATATCGAACGCAATTAAAGTTGAAAGCGAATAGCTTATCGCTTTAATGCCAGCAATATAGTAATAAATTACGTCAGAATTTTTTAGATAATCAGGCACAAGAGGATAAAGCCTTTACAGCAGCAATAAACCCACGAAACAAATATCTAATTCGTTTATCTCGAATTATGGATGAAAGAGAAACCGCTGGAGGAAATCCCGACTTCTGCTAAGTAGAGTATTATGTTGTATTGAAAACATTAATATACAGTATTCCCAGATCCCAGAAGCAACAGCCACTTGTGTATAATAATTCAAGATAGATAAATAATCAGAGCGCTTTGTTTCATCAATATCTTTACTACCAACCGTGCAAAATTGTCTATATGGAAACAACATCAACCGATATGAAATGGACAAGCCATGACTGCAAAGAAATTATATTTAACAATATCGACGTTTCAATGGCTAATTCAGCTTTTGTAAACTTTCTTTAAAGCCTATTTTGAAGCAAAGTATTCAAGCAAAGGTCACAGCAAACAGCAGCCGTGGATAACAAACAAACAAACAATACAGCAATGACAACTCGCTTCCATAGCACCACGATAGCTATAGAAATATAGTCTATGTATAGGCACGTGATAGGACAGATTCTATCCACGACATTTACGACACATGTATACACATGCAGTTAGCCCTGCAGCTAGAGCATATAAAAATTAGTTTGGTTCAAGAAGTGCTGACTCGGCAGCCGCGACAGTATATATGTTACACACAAGACATTAACATGCCTGACCTCTCCCTCAAAGTATACAATGACGAGAGGCACAATACACCTCACATCGTCATAAGCTATAGAACAATGGCACGAAGCACTTTGTGAACAACTGTAATCCTTGGTGCTGTCGTCACGCGACGATTGTACTACAGCTACAGAAATACAGAGAAGCGACTTATTTAGAGCGGCGGAGATGACGCAGCAATTTTATAACAGCGTCCTAACACGCACAAGACTAACGTGAAATGAAACAATTTTAAGATTCTAAGACTTCGAGCAACAGTTATAGTGAATATTTATATCGGCGTACAGTTTCGAGCAACAGTTACAGTGAATATTTATATCAGTGTAGGTACAGTTTTGAGCAACAGTTAATATAATGAAAATTTAACCATGAATTACCTAATCTGGTTTAGGCAGCTCGTAGGCATAATTATATGCCACGGATTGAAACATTACGAACCTAAAAGGGAAGGTTCCATTGTAAAACAAACGTGGAAGATGTGATTTAAGAAGATCCGACATCAGTAATTGAGTATTCAAAGGAGACAAATAAGCGTTAACTTTGGTTCGAATTAGGGCTTAGAATGACTACAAGCGCGGTTATATTAGTAAGCAAAGATTGCAACCTCTGCAGCAATTCAGTGAAATAAGCCAGAATGAAGACACAATCAAACAAATGAATGAGTAATATTGTACCAAATAGAGAAAGCACTGATAACATAAAAACACTTCTGCACGTAGCACAGAACACAATTTTCAGAACATCAAACTGAGTACGGTAGCTCAGAACATCAAACTGGGTCAAGATGACCCACTCAAGGGCAAAAAGTGCATCACTATTAGGACAAAGTCGCACTCATTTCTCTGTGTGTACGAAGCAGAGCAGGTGCAGGTGCTGCCTCCCACGGAATACCTTGATGCACCAGATTTTGCCTACGTACGTGAGCTGGACGCACTAAAAAATCCAGTGCGTCATATTGTCCAAAAAGTGACACACTTCTAACCCACAGCGCGAGCACAAAGCGAACGTAGTCAAGAAGTGCACCGCTATTTGTACAAATTTTATGGCAAGGATGACTGACTGAAAGGATGCTTGACTGAAAGGATGCTTGACTGAAAGGATGCTTGACTGAAAGGATGCTTGACTGAAAGGATGCTTGACTGAAAGGATGCTTGACTGACAGGATGCTTGACTGAAAGGATGCTTGACTGAAAGGATGCTTGACTGAGAGGATGCTTGACTGAGAGGATGCTTGACTGAGAGGATGCTTGACTGAGAGGATGCTTGACTGAAAGGATGCTTGACTGAAAGGATGCTTGTTAATACAAACAAGCAATCGAAACAACACTTACGTAAAGACTTTCTTTACACAGGAGAATGCTTCCTGGATTTTTTTATTATCTTCTACACATGAGAATGTCTCGTGTACTTTCGACACAAAACTCTGGAGCTAATTCTCTCGTCATACATAGCCACCATGCACTAGCGGCGAAGGTAAACAATAGGTACAAAAAATTAATACTTATTAATGTGCAGGGTTTCAATTTGTATCACCAACATACGAGACTATTAAAGATTGATGAAAGATTGATGAAAGAAAAGATTGAAAAAGAATGAAAAGATGAAAAGATTGATGAAAGGAATGCAGCGCTTATGTTATATGTCATATTCTATTGCAATCTAACTCTACACGAGGTCCTATAAGGCGGACCATTGGTCGATATGTGCGTTTTCATGACGCGATAAGAACGTACACAACTGCGTTAGCTGAACCAAAAAATTCTCATTAGGTAGTAAATTTTATTATTGTTAGGTTAACCATTCACCATTGCTATCAGCGGTTGAGCGGATTAACAATGGATTTACAGCGGATTTAATGGATTTTCATTATATAATTTCTCCACAAGATTTTACGTATAGTAAGCAACGCAAAAATCTGAACCGTACGCAGTTGCTTGAACTCTAGCACGGCTTCCTTGACAACGGGAAAACCTCGACAGAAGCTGATTACATTAAATATAAATGGTCATAAATACGCAGGGTATAGCACACAAACGATCCTATGCTATTTCTACGGAAGCATATCAGTGAAACAGCGCACATATGATCTGAAACAATACATATTTGCATACAATAGCTTGGTCCAGGGTAGCGGAGGCTTGATCCTTCGCGTGCATTAACCCGCACTTGGATACGTGAGACAGCTTGGACACGTGATGCAGTTTGGATACGTGAGGCAGCTTGAATACGTGAGGCAGCTTGGATACAAGCGGCCGCTTGGATACGTGAGGCAGCTTGGATACGTGAGGCAGCTTGGATACGTGAGACAGCTTGGATACGTGAGACAGCTTGGATACGTGAGGCAGCTTGGATACGTGAGGCAGCTTGGATACGTGAGGCAGCTTGGATAATCAGTTAAGCATCAATTATGAGTTAAGCAGCAATTATCAATTAGCAGTTAATCATCAAATATCAAATATAAGTTAAGCATCAATTTTATTAGTTAAACATCAATTATATCTGTTAAGCCTCCGTTATATTAGATACGTGATTAATTATATCAATTAAGCATTGTACGTGAGACGTTTGCAGGAAGGTGAAGTTGTCGGTTTATAACTGAAATCAAATGTCGCAAAGTCCATGAATTGCAACAATCTATCAGACAATATTTATACTATCACAAAATCTATCAAATCAAACTAAATCAAAATCGTAATTTGACATCTCTGGCGCTGGTCAAAATGATTACAATAACATAGGGGGCAAATAATGATGTTATATGATAAATATTTCAGAAATGTTCCTCATTAATCATGATACGTTAATTTAATAATGAGTTTATTTATAACTCGCAGCTCATCATTAATTAGAAGCAAATAATCACAAAAAAGTAGAATACAAAAACACAATAAACAGGATTATTATTCGTGAAGGTCGAGCGCAGCAATCAATTGTTGATAAATACTTGC